AGAGGGAGGGCGGAGGGCCAATGTTTTGTGGGACCTCCGCACATTCTACGAGCGCATCCGTGTGGACGTTCTCATGGACAGGGCCGAGGTTCCGGGGTTGCCGAGGGCCCTGGTTCCTCTCGCGGTGAAGGCCTATCGGGGCCCTCGTTTCGTCCTGTCCGGCATGGCGGAGGGCCCGCACTTCCCCAATCGGGGGGTTGGTCGCGGGATGCTCGTGCGCTGCCGCGCTCGTGCGCATCTACAGTCGACCCGCATCATAAGGATGCAAGATAAGGATGCAAGGGCCTTGGAAGGCCGTCTCGAAGCTTTTCGAGCGGGGCGCGGCCAACGAGCGCGGCCAGGGCTGGACCGAGGAGGGGAGGATGCAAGGATACCCTCGGGAAACTTGCCCATCCTTCCTATGCGGGTTGACTGTGCTTGACCCCAGCGGTAGAGAGGCTGGGCCTCCCGAAAAGCATCCACCTCACAGCCTACATGGACGACCATAGGCTCTCTGGAGTCAACACAGAGAGCCAATTCAGACGTCGAGGACGCAGCCGCCACGCCAGGAGACATCAGTCGCCGCGAGTTGTACAGTTCCATCTCCGAGGAGAAAACTGTGCTGATCTCGTCGACCGCCGAGGTAGGCCAGTTGATGCGAGATTTCTTTGGAGCGTCAGGAGGGTCATCCAATTCGACGGTAAACCTTGGTGTGGACGACGCGGCAGGCAGACCGCGCACGCGACCCAGGAAGCGTGCGAAGTTTGACCAGCGTCGGATATGCCTCAGGGTCAGAGCTCAGCGTATCATGGGAGCTCGGGACGCGTTGGGGAGGCACGCCAAGTCGCGGGATGGGGCGTCTGCGGCCACGTGCGGGAGCAAGGTCCATGCGATGATGGCTTGCGAGCTCGACAACTTGAAGGGGGCTCTCGGAAGGTGCGTGAAACCGCCTGCTGGCTCCCGCTCCTCGACCCCCCCCACCATCGTCGAGGACGATCCCTCTTGGTTCCCCTCGGCCTCCCCAGTTGTCAAATATCGGAGGCGGCCAAGAGGGGGGCGTCCAAGAGGGGGGGGGGTGCAAATCATGACCGGCGGCATGTGCGCGGCCCAGCGGGGGGGCCAGGGACGTAATGGAACAAGAAGAGGCGCCGTGACATCTGGGGAAACATCATGGCCCCCGCCGTGATATCCCCCCCCCTAGTCATCACCCCCCTCTCTGCCGCCCCCGAAAACCCGCCAGGGAGCTTTGGTCGAAGCCACTGCGGGCGTTCGAGCCCGCCGCTCCCTCCGCTCCGCTGCGCGGGGCGCGGACCTCTGCCTCTTTGAGGTAGAGCTCTCGCGCGGCCGGGAGGCACCACCGCCCGGGGCCCGCCAGGGCGGCGCGGCTGTCTCTCTCAGCACTGGGTGGTGTGTGCCAGATTACAGTCAACCCGCAGAGTAAGGATGCGCGATAAGGATGCAAGGGCCTTGGACGCCCAATTCGAAGCGTTTCGAGCGGGGCGCGGCCAACGAACGTGGCGAAGGGTGGACCGAGGGGGCAAGGATGCAAGGGTACCCTTGGGAAGACTGTACGTCCCTTTGGTCACAGAACAAGATGTACAGCCCATCAGGCCGAGGGTGACGATGGAATAGCCTTGGGACCTGGCAACGACTCTGCTGAGCCGGCAGCCAAGCGAGGAGCGACCGCTCCACCCCCAAGCTTCGGAGCAAGAGTTTCAGCAAGTCTCCAGGCGTGTGCGCATTGCCAAGTATGCCTGCCAACTTGCACATGGAATCATGCCTCTCTGGCCGCGAGTCGATTTAACCGGTGTTGACAGTGCTCCTGCGGTCCCCTCGGTCCCTGAAGCCCGAGTCTCGTCGCCACCCCACTTTTCGATATGTCTTGGGTCGTCCTGGAGGTGCCAAACCTGCCCCCGAGTTAAGAGAAAAAGAGACTATGCCCCCCTCCCCTTGGTGCTCTGGCCAGCCACCTCCTGTTGCGCTCGCACTGCAGGATCGTGAGCACATAACCTTGTTCTATGGTACTCGACCAACCTTGTTCTATGCATTGGATTGTTTTGGCTACTCCTCGGGGCGAGGCTTTCAAAAAGCTCAGGGAACACTGCGTTCCCTAGGAGCCCGCTCGCCCGTCCAAGTGAGCCGCGTCTGTGGTCAGATCTGTAAGCAGGGGTCAGCACCCCAAGGCTCCAGGTGAGACTTGCGAATTTCTCGATCTAGAGGCGATCAAGTCGGAAGCCGCCCTCCAGCAAGTTGCCGCTCCTCTGCGGGTCGAGGCCTCTCAAGAGGCCAGCAGCGGCTTAAAGCTGGATCCAGCTTCCGACTAGCTGTCTCTAGCTTTCTGTTGAACAAGAAACCTCTCCTCCTCCTCCTCCTCCTCCCCCTCCTCCTCCTCCTCTTCCTTCTCCTCCCCCTCCTCCTGCCCCTGCTTGGAGAACGCTTTATATACAAACACGCACACGGATCCTGGCGAGGCCCGTTCCTACCGTTGCGTGGGCATGCGAAGATCGGCGTGTACGATCGGCGCCTTCGGGCTTGCGCCTCCTCCACCAGATCCTCCAACTCATTCCTTGTCGTTGCCGCGCTCCTCCTTGGACCAGAACACAAGCGACACCACCCCACCTACGGCTCCACGGAGCTCATCGTATACCAACAAATGTGGCGAAGGTTTGTTTGTGGTATATACACACATATATATACATACGCTACGGCCCCCCATCGGCCGTAGAGCAGCATGAAGGGCCGTGGGTGGGGTGGTGACGTTTGTTTTTCGGTCGACCGTTCCCTCCCACGCTTTGTGCTGATCCTCCTGCTCCCCCCGCTCAAAGGACGCATCCCATTCGCGGCCGCCGCACTCTCCCTGCGGCCATTCCGTTCAGCGTCACCTTCCCTCCCCCGAGACGCGACCTTCCGCGGGCAGCTTGCACGCCAACTTAGGTGAAGTCGACCCCGTTTCTGTTTCTGCGTCGCTGATGTGCGGGTACTCAGCAGTGGTGGTTCCCGCTGCAGCGCTGGCCACGTGTCGAGATCGGCGCTGTGCTCCCGTCGTTCGGAGTGGCGCTCTCGCCCCAGCACGGGCCACACTTCTGGATCCGATTCCTGCATCGTCATTGCTCTCACCTCATTTCGACTCCTCCTCCTCCTCCTCCTCCTCCTCCTCCCCCTCCTCCTCCTCCTCCTCCTCCTCCTCCTCCTCCCTCCTCCTCCCTCCTCCTCCTCACCCTCTTCCTGCACATGCGCCTCATCCTCCGCCAGATTACACAGCCACCCCTCTCCGATTTGCGCGATCCCCACGTTGCCCGAATGGGCACCTGAACTGGTCCTGCGGGGAAGGCAGGTCTCAGCGCGTGGCGAAGGCTCGCGCTCGAGACCAGTCCCTGCGAACCATCCCTACACGGTTCTCCGGAGCACACCCAGCCGCAAATAAAACGACGACTAGCAACTCGGAGACTCAACACAGGAGCGCCGGGCAAACTGGACGGGTAGCCAAACCCGTCTTGTGTGGATGAGGCGATCGTCGGAGACATGCTGGAGGCGTCGGGCCAGTTATCGGAATACGGGGTGGATGAGGACGACCAGGAGGAGAAATGGGCGGAGGAGGAGAGGGAGGAGGACAGCAGCAGCAGGAGCATGAGGAGAAGGAGCGTCAGCTGGACCCGAGAGGTTTCCCAGCCTTTCATCCTGGGTTTTTCATTCACTGTCCAACGGCCCAAGGGGGGCCAGGCCCCGAAATCGGTCAAAAAAACTAATGACAAATTTCCCTCCGGCCCCGCTTGCTTCATGCGGGCGGAACGATGGGGAACGTCAAAAAGGATTGGCTGAGAGGGGGAAGCATCAGCTTGAAATTGGCGATACATCGGCAATGCAAGCCCCGATGCCGAATCTGCATGGTCCGGGGCGGGATGGGCTATCTGGCCCGTATTGTCCTATTGGTGATGAATGGACGACTTGGGGTCGCCGCATCACCGGCTTAGCTTACCCGACCCCTAACATTTCCCCTGAGGGAAAGAGTATGAAGAATGACGACGTCCCTCCAAATTGCCTTTTCCTGGGGCCGTACAACAAATCTATTAACACTGCGGGAAGTGCCCTGTTGGAAAACGCAGTCGGGATGGGGCGGGAGGAGGAGGAGGAGCAACAGGAAAAACAGGAGGAAGGGGGGGAGGGAGCAGGGAAAAGGGCGGGGAAGGAGGGAGGAAAACCAAAGGGCCGAACATCAGAGCTGGAATCGACCATGCTACACATCGAACTGGAACAAACGATGCACGATCTGCCGCGCGCGCAGACACGTGTTCATGGAGCGAAGAACCCACGCCAAAGGGAGCCGCGACTTGCCTTAAATTTAGCTCAACCTTCAGCGACGACGAGCGCCGAAAAACTTTAAGAGTCATGTAGTGCCCAGCTCAAAAACTTGTGTCGAACTTACTTTGCTACTACTGTTGATACGACTAGAATGGTTGTTCGTTTGCCCGCTACGCGCGGGACTACTTACACGACCGCGCGCGGGGGCGGGCGGGCGGGCCACTCAACGAGCTATCACGGTCGACGCCTCTTGGCCCGCGATGGGGCGAAACCGCCGGCTCCTCGTTCCGACTGGGGCCGCCGGCCCCTTCCGTGGACGCCGCAGGGGCCGACGTCACCGTATTATCGGCATCCTACCATCTCTCCGGGTCGCCTTCCGTCTCGCCGACGCCGCAGGGAGACCCGCCCCACCACTCTGGGTCGCCATCTGAGCAGCTGGTGATCTAAAGACAGCCATGCCACTTCCATCTCTCTGGGTAGCAATCCGCCTTGCCGACGCCGTAGAGATAACCATCCCGGCACTAATTCACTGCGCCAATTCATTAGGCAGCCGAAGCCGTAGAGACACCAATTCACTGCACCCGTTGATAACGACTCTGGACACCTCGGCAGAACGCGCCACGCCAGCATTCCCCATGCAAGCGCGAGTCCCTCCAGAAATCCCGTCACCTTTGACAGGACTAGCAGTCTCCTCGCCGATCGTGGGATTCACTATTCGAAGCCGTTCATCGCCATCTGCAGCAGGCACTCCTGGCGCCCGTGCGGCGCTGCCCTTGGTTTGATCTCCGCCCTCAGCTGCTCGGCACTGACTAAGATCAAACGGCCCATGGTCGGATCGCTGAGGCATGGCGCCAGCTCGGCCACGCCCTCTTCGCAACGTCTCAATACGCGGCCGCCTCTCACCAACGACGTCAGACCCTCGATCGACGCCGCCTCGCACTTCGCTGCCACCTCGACCCTCCGAATCTTGTTGCGCGCGCCGACCGTGTCTCTCGCGGCCGCGATGGTCTTCTTGATGGCCAAGAACCTGGGCGCGCGCGGGGGCCCATGATCACCTTTGGCGGCTCGTTGGCTGTGGGGTCGTCGCAGTGAAGGTCGCCCAACCTCTGGGCTTCCGTCGCGCAGGCATTCCCTGCCGTGAACCCTGCCTTCGGCATCTCGCCGCCCTCGCCAGGCAGCGGCGCGCCCGGCGCTGTCGCCATCATCTGCAGCGCGCCGAAACCGTTCCCCAATGCCGCGCGAACCATGACAGGAACGAGCCGCGGCGCCACCTGCGCGCCCGCCCTCGGCAGCTCGTCGATTGCGTCTGCGGCGCGGCCGGTGCGATCAAGCACCTCGGCCCCGCCTGTCTGACCCGCGCGGCGTCTTCTGCCGGCGGCCCCCCTGCCGCGGCCGGGCGGCGCCTCCCCGTCGGGGGCGTCCGGCGGCGCCGCGGCCGCTGAAACTGTTGGCCGCTGGCCGCGAGGGGCCGCGCTGCCAGCGCCTCCGCGCCGTGGTGAGCGGACGCGCGCCCCGCGGCCAGCACTTGCGGAGCCGCCTCGGCCGCGGCGACGGCCCGCCCGCTGACTGCTGGATCTGGAGCGGCCTGCGGCCTCCAACGCCTGCTCGCCGAGGCGGCAACTCGCGGCGAGCGGGCGGCGGCGCCCCCGAAGCTTGGCAAGATCCTCGAACGGCTCGGCGACGCGGCAACGCAAACCCGAACTTCGCGCCCCCCAGATCGAGCACCCCCTTCGCCTGCGAAGTGGGGCGCGCGAGGCGCGGGGGGCGCGATTGCGTCCAGGGCTGCGGGGGGGGGGCCTCTGCGAGCGACGTGTCCTAATTATGGGGGAATGATCGGCGTGCTCCTGCGCCATCAAACGAACGCGCAGCACGCTGCGACCGCGCGCGCGCGCTAGTGAGCGGCGACGACGGGGCGCGGGGGCGATCGACGGTCGTGGCCGCGCTTATTCTGAAAGCGCCAGCTACTTGCGTCTGGTTGTGAAATCGCGGCCGCGCTCAACTCCCTCGGCGTCGAGCAACCTGCGCCCCCGCCCTGCGCGAGGAGGCTCGGGGGGCGCCGCGGCGCGCGCTGCTGCCGCCCGCCCAGGCGGCGGGGTCGCCGCTGACCTAGCCTGCGCGCGCGGGGGCCCGGGGCCCCGGGAAAGGCGCCCCTCGCGTTGATCGTCGCCGGCGAAGGGGGCCCAGCAGACATGAAGACGCGCGACTCTCGCCACAATCGCGCGCGCACCCGCGGGGGCGGAAAGCGCGTCGCAACCTGCTGCGAGCGACGCGAAACGAAGCCTGCATTGCGCGTGGACTCAATTGCACTGGCGCGGTTCGCATCGCCTGCGTAGACCACCCCGCCGAGGTCGGCTGGCGCGTCCGACTGCGGCGGCCAAACGGCGCAGAGAGCTCCGTCTGGCCACGCGGTCCAGAGAAGAACGGGGAACTCAAATTCTTCCCAGATCGCAGATTGCGCGGGTGGCGTCTCGGACGGCCACGCAGCGCCCCTCTACCTATCCTTCCACTCGTCAATCGGCATCCTAGAAGCTCTGGCGAACAGTGGCGCAGCGGGCGCGTCTTCAATGAGAGCACCTGGATCGACATTCAGGGTCGTGCCTCTGGCGAAGTCAGCGCTGCCCCTCGGGTCGCGTCGCTGCCTGCGCTGTGGCTCGCAGCGGGTTGATGCGTTTTCTTCCGAACGGGTTGCCCGCGCCTTCTGTCGCCGTGACAGCGGACGCCCCAGACGGACGAATTCTCCACAGCAAGCCCTCCTGACACAGAAGAGCACCCTCTCGGTTGCTCCCCCCGCCCGTAGCCGCGCGCGCACGGCGGCGGCGCGTCGCCCCGCGCTCGCTGCGCCTGCATCTTATACCAAGAAATACCCATTCGGCAGAGACGACGGAAATAACGTCCGGCGACTACTCTTGCACGCCATTACTCTTAACCAGGCCCATGGCCACCGCATGGCGCCAAGCCAGAAGAAGGCGCCGCGCGCGTCGGATATGGCCCAACATGTCCTTCAAAGCGCCCTCCGTCGTCGGCGCTGGGATATCCTCCGTCGCCTGCCCCGGCCCGCGTCTATCTCCGCGCAAACGACGACAAGGCTCTGGCAGCGCGGCCCCCCCCCCCCTCTTCCGTCATTCCATCGAAGACGTCCTCTCGCCGTCGTTCCGTCATTCCGTCGAGGGCGTCGTCTCTCCGCCATTCCGTCGAGGACGTCATCTCTTGCGGCCGTCGTGCCCCCTCCAAGTTTCGAAAAAAAACGGGATTCTTCGGATGGAACGCTATGCGGTGGGGCTGCGCGCCGCGGCGGTGGTCTTGCAATGGATCCCTGAACTTTCTCGAAGTCGTCCGCGCCACGCTCGTGATGATCGAAGTCGCGCGTACGGGGGCCCCGCCGAGCGCCTCTAGGTACTGTTTTCTGTAGTCCCTGAAATTGATGGGCTCGGCCTCGAATCCTCCATAAAAATGCAGAAGAACTTCGTGCGTTCTGATGCGCTCTTGTAGCGAAGCCTGCACGCGCATTGTAGTGCCTCCTGCGGGGCCCGCGGCAACGAGCCGCCAGTAGGTGACTGATCTTCATACCTCCGCGAACTGTCTCGACCTCCTAGCTTTTGCCATCTTGTCCACGGGCATCATTACTACCTCCTGCTCCTTTGAGCGTCGATGCGCACGCGGTCTCTGCGACGCCCTCGCGAGCGCCATCACGCCCATCGTGTCAACACCGCCAGCCCTTAGTCGCCTTATGTCCGCCAGAAGGGGCTGTCGTTCCTGTCGTCCCTCGCGTAGACTTACCAGATGAAGCTTCTCGACCCTCGTGCGAACGGATGTTTCTCCCACGCCTCGCCAGGCGCGGCATGCGAATACAGCATGCCAGAAGTATCTGGGCGCCGCGAAAATGCAGCTTCAAGGTGTCGAACAACCTTCGCTACCCCTCTCCATTGTGCAGCGCCTTCCCAACACAATCGGAACACCAATGTATTCGCAGCTGTACCGCACGGGCCCCATGAGTATATACCACATTAGCTAGAACTACGACGTGGTCCTGAAGTGCAGGACGACGAATGAGCTTCAGAAGTGGATTGGCGCCCTTCAAGGCATCAGCGCGGTGCACAGGGCGCCTGCCAGGATAATGTCACCACGTGGCCTATGAGTGTGTGTGTGTGTGCGTGTGTGTGTGTGTGTGTGTGGCACTCCGCGCGCCGTAATATTAGGACACATGTCGAAATCGCTGGCGGTGGTCCTCATCTCGAAGTTTTCGCAGGACCCACGTACGGTGCTGTAGATGAGTATACTTGGAGCCACTTTCTGCAGCATCTTTCTTCGCCGACAAACGCGGCGGAAGTACAGCATGGGAACAACACTGTGGAATCAACCGAACCTTGGGCGAGAAGGTGCGGCACGACGTTTGAGGTTCGCGGGAAGTGGAGGCGTATCCACGATGTGGGGGGATCGGAACAATCATCTTCCAAACAGCACAGTACAGCCGCAGTTCTTGTTGGCATGTGGGCCATGCCACCAACTAAAACGAAACACAGTATTGTACGGCAACCAACTAAGTGCCGGAGGCCGCGAACTCACGTTCTCGTCCACGTGTGCCGCTGGTACAGATAACGTCGGCGTAGCGAAACTCAGCATGATTATAAAACAGTCTCCCTTCCGTGCTGGCACTCTGATGAGAGGCAACGATCAGGTGGAAGGGATAGGCATACGAGGGGAAACATCCACATGGAATCAGAGAAACATCGCCCATAGATCGGCGATATGCCCCCGATAGTGAATCCCAACGTTCCTGGGCAAGCTGGGGCTATTGGGCCCCCATCTGCGATCAGTGGGCCACTGGGGGTCGATGCGTACCCCCCTGATGCCTATTCCCCCGTATCGCTGCCCTGTCGCTTCCGTGCGATGTCTCCGCTCTCCGGCGGCCGTCTGGAACGATTCCGGCACCCCGGAACGCCCTCGACGAGGCGCACCTGATGGAGACCGCCCTGGGCTACGGCAACTGACAAACATCACCGGACCCCCCCTCTGGACCTACAGCAGGGGCCCGACCACAAGAAGCCTTTCGCAAGAAACCCAACCCTGAGACCCCAGGACGCCCTATGCTTGGTGTGGGAACGCCGCGCTCTCCATCGCAAGAAACCCAGGGCACCATGGAGGCGAGCAGGGTGTTTCTTGGCATGGGCCTCCACTGTACAGGGCAGTTTTTCATACATAGGATGTTTAAACACATGGGATTTTTAATACATGCTTAATATGTGAGTAAATTTAAGCATGCACTCATCGTTGTTTTTAATGCTAAATCCTTGCATTCTTAGTACATGATCCGCACGCGGAGCGTGTATTAAAAACGGCACTGTGCAGCACGAGCACCAGACTGGAGACACTGCCGCGGACGGGGGGATAGTCGCCGTGCGGGCGCGCGGCGGGCGCCCGAACCTGCGCAGAATGCGGCGCTGGCCGCCCCTGTGGTGCAGCTTCTCAGGCAGAGGGTGCGGAAGAGGAGCAGGAGGAGGAGGAGGAGGAGGAGGAAGAGCAGGAGGAGGATGAGGGGGAGAAGGGGGGAGGAGAAGGAGGAGGAGGTGGAGGACGAGGAGGAGGAGTGATGATGATGATGATGATGATGATGATGATGATGATGCTGATGCTGATGCTGATGCTGATGCTGATGCTGGTGATGATGATGATGATGAGGAGGAGCAGTGATGATGATGAGGAGGAGAAGGAAGAAGAAAAGGAACGACGCTACGAGCTCGCTCGAAGCTTGCCCAGCGCAGTAAGAAGTAGAGGAGGGGCAGGAGGAGCAAGAGCAGGCCCGCGCCCCTCTAACGGGGACTCCACTCACGGGCACTTTGGCCAGTGACCCGGCGAAGCCAACCCTCCCCGATGTGGGCAACGCTGCGCTGCCTGGAAGAGAGGCCCTCGAGTGGCAACTTCTGGCAACTCTCCAACAATCGGGAGCGGCAAAGAGGGGGTGTCCAAGAGTGGGGGTGCAAATCATGACCGGCGGCACGTGCGCGGCCCAGCGGGGGGGCCAGGGACGTAATGAAACAAGAAGAGGCGCCATGAAATCTGGGGAAATATCATGGCCCCCGCCATGACATCCCCCCCCCCCCTAGTCCTCACCCCCCTCTTTGCCGCCCCCGAAGCAATACCCGTTGGGGAGTACCCGTTACGTCGCCGGGGAACAGCAGCCGCCCCTCTGCGAGCGGGGGGGCAGGGGCGGCCGCCTCCCAGCAGCGCCAGGGGCGTCAGCGGCAGGGCGGCGTGGAGGCCCTGGCGGCGCAAGGGGGGAGCAGTCCTGGCGGCTGCTGCTGCTGCCGACTGCCATCCTCCCGACGGTCGTCCTCGTCTTCGTCTCATCATGGTCGTCGTCATCATCACCATCATCACTATCAGCACTATCATCATCCACACAAGAATTGCCATCGCAATCAACGCCACCATCACCAGCACCATCACCGGCACCATTACCGGCATCAGTATCCCCATCCACATCATCATATGCAGCATCATCACCACCACGATCACCATCACCAAAACCACCATCATCATCAGCAACAGCATCCGCATCATCACCGCCATCATCCCAATCAGCAGCATCATCATCACCATCATCATCATCATCATCGTCACCATCATCATCATCACCATCGGAATCATCATCTTTACCACCATAATCACCGACCATCATCAGCATCCGCATCAGCATCATCATCCTCACTGTCATCAAGATCATCATCACCATCATCAGCGCTGCCTCCATTATCATCGTCCCTGGGTTCCCACAGTTGAGCGCACGATTCTGGAGCATCATCGTACTCCTGAGCAGGACAGAAAGCTTAGACTGACGTCTGAGAGTCGAGCTCGTGGTCCCTCGATTCAGGTACGAGAACTGCATCATCCGAACATGTTTCGTCAAGATGCGGCGCGTGACCGAGTAGCAATTTGGTGGGCGAAGGTGCACCCAGTGGCTCAGCAATTGCTAGGGCACAAGTGCAAGGCAAACGGTGAGAAGTAGCTATATCGGAACCTCTTGTGTCAGGCGTGCCAGAGGCTCAGCTCCGATGCCCCTGAACAGGCCTCGCGTCTCCGTCTTGCCACACTTCCATCGTGTGGCTTGGGCCTTTGCAGAATATCGTTAAGGACTCCTCCCACATCATGGAGTACCTCGGGGAAGCCGCCTACAGACTTGCATGCGACTTCCGCAGGTGAGTCACGACTGCGGGGGCATTCTTTTTCGGCCCCCAAGGGGCGCACCGTTGACGGCGGAAGAAGTCACCCTCAGGAGCGGCGAGACGATCTGTCATCCAGCCGGCGTGCTGGATCACGAAATAAAGCAGTGCCATCCGTTGCTGTGGGCGCCTCAACGCGCCGACGCAGCAGCCGCAGTTCCACTATTCAAGCAGATGCGCGAGGCAGCTAGGGCCACAGAGCTCCCGCCCAGTACACTGGATTGCTTGGGCAGAGCGTTGAGCCAGATGAAGCTTCGAGAGCTTCGGAACTGATGGGCACGCGCCGCTGGATGCCCAGCGCTTTCCAGTGGCAGGGCGGGTGGAGTTGGCTGAAATGTTCATTCAAATCATGGAATGCATGACGTGACCGCGGCAGCCATTGGTTGTGGAAGGGCGCCTCGTACCCGCAAAGGTGTGAGGAGATCGAGTGGTAGGGTTGATATGAATGAAGCATGACATGCAGAATCGGATTTGAGGTTCGCGTCAGTGGCGACGCCATGGTCGCAAGGGTCCACTGAGCACTGGGGCGCGGCCCTGGCAAGTAATTCGGCCAAGACGCTGCGCGAGGAGATCTACGGGATGCTCGGTGTCTCCTGCGCACGCGCGCTGATGGACATCAATGTCCTCTACGACGCCGTGAGACGGGCCAGTCCATGCGCTGTGCGCAGCCGCGGTTTTTGTCGCAGCTGGGCTCCACGTCTTGCGCGCTTAAGACAGGACGATCGATCATCCAGGGGCTTCGGAAAGGCGCGCGGCTTGGGGAAGTGCGACGTGTGTTGTGCTCCAAAGTCAGCGACTGGCACCCTGGGGTTAAATTTGAGGACTTGGATGGACAATTTGAGTGCGTCATCGGCGGGGTCTCAGAAGCAGTTCGATCAAATCACGATCAAGGGGGTCACGGACACTTCGACATTTCTGGCCGAGGGAACCTTGCAGTCGCCACTGCGAGCGCCACCGTGGCCGCCGGGCCAAAGCAGGCTCAGCATATCGTCGATGTACTACGGAAGCGCGGTCTGCACCTGCAACCTGCACCTGAGACGGCCTTGAATCGACGCGGGGGCAGGTAAGAAAGTGCCGCGCCGCGAGACCGCAGATCATCAGCAACCCAGGATCAAGAGCGGCGCGCATTACGAGGTGGGCCAAAAACTCGCGGCGATCTCCAGTGATACTGCGCCGATCCGAAAGTTTGCCCAATTTCGCCACCGTGCTCGCCGCGGCCATCTGGGGTGCCGCGCCGCGGCCCGCGCCGGAGGGGCCCAGCACAATGCAGGGGCAGAGCCTAACCCCGGCCCGGGGTCGCGGGATCGGGTTCCCCTTCCAAATATAAAATTCTGTTATCCCAAACGGTGCGCTGACCCGGACATGAGCAAACGGCATAGAACTTCTGCAAAAAGAGCTTTCGGGTTCGGTCATGCGACGACCCGAAAAGTTTACCAACCGACCTGGAAGTGGCCGAATCCCTTGGGACTTGCGCCAACAAAAAAATGCCCGGTCTGGTTCGAGAGACCCGAAAATGTACAAACCGCCTAGAACCCCTTGGAAAAAAAAACATAGTTCTCGAAGTCTTCGGGCCCACTCCGAAGAAACCGAACATCGGCAAACCACATCGAATTTCCGCGGTTCCCGGCCTCGTCCGAAATAGCCGCCGATGGGCAAACCGCTCGAGACTTCCTGCACCAGAAACGGGTTCCCGGGTGAGAGATTGTCAACGGGACCGCGCCCCGCGCGGGATCGGGGTTCGCGCGGGGGCGCGGCTGCTCTCGCCGTTCCAGAGGGCATGCCTTGCCGCGCCCTTCCAGCATAGCGTTTGCGCTGCATTCGCGCGGCGACGTGCTTCTCACGTCGGAACAAACTTTCGGAGTGTCGATGCATCCACTTTGGACGACGTCACGGGTCAGACAATGGCCCATTACGAACACCAAGTTCACGGCATATGTGGCACTACACCCCTTCGGCGTCGCAAGCGTATTGGATCAGTCTGCGGATCCAGCGGGATGGCGAGGTGCTTGACCGCTACCTTGGGCGTGCACGCTCCACAGCAAGATCCAGCAATGAGGTTTGGCAGAGAGTGCCTAGCAAAATGGCTGCGCATCTTGGCGGCAACGAATGATATCAGGCTGGCCGGCACACGGGCATGGGATAAGGTAGTCGCCAAGTCCAGCCATGTGCAGCCGACAGATCAGCCGCGACACGTGCGAGGACCTCTCAGTGCGGCGGCCACGCTTCTGTTGCAGTACAGTTGGCAATAGCACAATCCATCGCATTGGCAAATTGGCCACCAAAGGAGCCCCAATCTGAGATCATCGAGTGGAAGATTCCGGGCGAGCCCATGACCGGCAACGAGGACCTGACAGGCATCGAGGCAGATTTCACCGAATCTGCGCATGCGTTTCTACAGCGTGAGGCGTCGATTCACGATGCTGGCGAGGGTATGCCAGGGGGGTCTGGCGATACTTCCTTGAAGGCTATGCTGCGCGGGCTACGTTAGACGGCCAAAGGCTGACCATGGGCGGGAACACTCCTGGCGATTGCTGCTAGCTCCAGCATCCTGGCCACAGGCACCTGTTACGATCCAGTCCTTGCATGCGGTGACGCGTGAAGAGAATCACCGACACACACACAGTCCGAGGTTGCGTAGAATTGGCGTGGACGCTATTTTCATCGAGTCGTCTTGTATTTCAATGGTGCTTGGACGAGGCGGCAGAGGCCCGCTGGCAGGCAAGGCGCAGACAGCGCATCGCAGAGGGTTAGAAGTGTTCGAACTCATCATGAGACGAACGCGTGGATCGCTTGTCTACGTGACAGAGAATGAAGCAATCCAACTCGGGTTCGACTCACACGTGTATCGATGGCGCCGCGAAACAACATCAGATGTCGACCTGTGGGCATCCGTATGGATGCTGATGCAAAACGAACGGGGTCCAGGAGTAGTTGCCGTTATGATCATGAATTCAAGTGTGCCTCGGCATGAAGGCCTTCAAAAGGGATGTGCGCCCTGGATGCTCGAGGGCAACGATCGTGCCGACGCATTTGCAAGTGGTGCTGCGCGCGCAGCGCTCGCGCACGAGGCGACCAGGAGTGAGAGCGCTGCTTCACGCACGACATGCGGAGCTCGTTCGAAGGCGACCCACCCGAACGACCAAAGAGTCAAGCCCTCGCCTGGTTCCTCCTGCCCCTGCCACGGTTGCTCGTTTTAGTACCACCCACACCCTGGAGCAAGATGGCCGCTCGTGTTCTGTTTGCAGAGGGTCCGCACTCAAGCTGAAAACGACGGAGCGGCTGCAATCATAAGGTTTACCGCTTGTGTCGATAGATGGCTTCTTAAAAGGGATCCGCAGGGGTTCAAATGTACGCTGTGCGGGGGGGGGGGGGGGGCGGCACTCCACACACGATGTCAGATGTTGTGGTGATCTTGAGCTCTGGTTCTGTGGGTCAGACCCGCATGGAATATTTGAACCGGATCGGTGCCGGGCTCTGGCCAAAAGTTCTCTCTCGTTGTCGGAGCAGCGGGCCACAGGCCAAATCCCACCTGCTTATATAGAATACGCTTGGCGAACTAACCATGCCATTAAATTTCTCCCTCCCTCCTCATCGTCGCTGCACCTCCTCCTCTTCCTCTTCCTCATCATCATCATCATCAGAATCACCACCGCCACCACCACCATCATCCTCATCCTCATCATCAACATAATCACCATCATCAGCATCATAAGTATTGTCATAATCATCACCATCATCCTCATCATCGCCATACTCATCATCCTAATCAGCACCATCATCATCCCCATTCTAATTTTCGCCCTCATCAATCATCATCCTCATCCACATCATCATCCCCTATCCTCATCGTCATCATCGTCAGCACCATCATCGTCATCATCAGCATTATCATCTCTATTATCATTATCATCATTCACATACGTATCATCATCACCATCATCATTATCAGCATCATTTTCATCCTTTTCATTCTCCAACAACCCCTCCTCCTCCTCCTCCTCCTCCTCCTCCTCCTCCTCCTCCTCCTCCCCCTCCTCTTCATCCTCCCTCCCTCCCTCCCTCCTCCCTCTCTCCCTCCTCCCTCCTTCCGCCTCCCTCCTCCTTCCTCCCTCCCCACTCTTCCTCCTCCTGCCGCACCTCTGCCCCCTTCCACGACGACGAATACGACGACGACGACGAATACGAATAAGACGACGACGACGACGGCGGCGGCGACGACGACGACGGCGGCGACGGCGGCGACGACGACGATGACGACGGCGGCGACGATGACGACGGCGGCGGCGGCGACGGCGGCGGCGGCGGCGACGACGACGACGACGGCGGCGACGGTGCCCGTGGCTGGGAAGCCGCGCCTCCGCCACCGCGGCCCAGGCCGCGGCCTCTCCGGCGCAGCCGCGGGGGAGGGGGGCCGGCGGCCGCCGGCCTCCAGCGAGGGAGAGAGAGAGAGGCGGCCCTCGGGCGCCGGGAGCGGAGCGCAGCCCCGCGCTGCGGCCTTGCGCAGTGCGACCCTGGACGAGCAGAAATGGTCGGAGCTCCGCGGGGATGCACCCGGGTGCTCCGCGGGGATGCACCCACGTGTGTATGCGCCACGCTGGTCCCGGGGCAGGCTGTGCTGCCCGGCGGAAGGGGGCCGAGGACGGGAGAAGCAGGCAGACGACGACGAACGCCCAGGCGGGAGGCCAGGGCCGGCGGGGCGGGCGGGCTGGCAGAACAGGGGCCAGGCGGGGGCAGCAGGCAGGGAGCGGGAGGAAAGGACAGGGAGGGGAGCAGCGAGCTCGACCGCAGGAAACCTTCCACTGACCAGCCACGAACCTATCCCTGCCCCTAAGATGGGCGAGCAAAGCGCGAGGACAAGCTTAGGGATATGATGCTCCAACCTACTTTAGCCTTGACCGCCAGAAAGAATTTCGAGCATCAGCAGAAAAGTACCAAAAACTCTAGGGTTTCCACGTGTCGGGCCCTGGGAGACACTGTTTCGACACTGTTTCGAAACTTTTCCAGGTGCTCGAAATTATTTCTGGGATGTGGTCCTTAAGTACGATGGCAGCAACAGAAGCTCAGGGATGTGCCCTCAGAAACTGAGGGAATCCTCGAGATCGGCATCGGGGCGAGGTGATGCCAGACATAGGGGTAGGCCGCCAGCCTCCAGCGCGAGAGAGAGGCGGCCCTTCCTGTGCAGGAGGAGCTCGACCACGAGAACCCTTGCACAAGATCAACGTTTTCATATTCGGCGTTTCGACATTGGGCAAAAGGGGAGGGGGTCTGGCTCTGGACCTCTGCTCCGTGCGACTGTTTACAGCAGCGGGTCCTATGGAGGAGGCCCCACCTGCCTGAAACAGGCGCCCAAAGCAGCCAAGATCTTCTCTATGGGGCGGGGCGGGGGGGAGTGGGGGGTGCGAGGGCCCGCGCCGATCGGCAAAACACTGAATAAAAAAACTGCCGCAAGAAACCTCTCCCTGAGACCCCAGGGCGCCCATTGATTTTCGGTGTGGAAACGCCACGCCCTCCAGAGCAAAGCGATCAAAACCCAAGAAACCCAGGACCCCCCTGGAGGCAAACAGGGGGTTTCTTGGCATGGGCCCCACTGTACAACTGGACATGGGGTCTGGTCGGGCGTGTCCTTCTACACATTGAGTTTGGACGACAAAAAAATACACCAACAATAATACGAACATAACCCACACATCATTATCAGAGCACGAACAATCGTTCCCAAACTATTGTTTGACTACTACTTTTGAATATCCCTCCTGCTGATGGACATGCCCGATTTCAACGTATGACAAGAAACCAAGCTTCAAAAACATGAGACCCTTCGCCGGCCAGCACGACCCAAACCAGAAGAACACCCGAGGGTGCCCTCCCCCAGGATGCACAAACACATCCAACAAACTCGAAGAGCACCAGGGTACGCTCCCCGCACCGACCTCGCTCTGACACCTCGGTCCGACCGTATGAGAACTCGAGAGACTTCTACTACGATGGAGTCGGCGACCGCTGGACTGACGAGCAATGGCGCCGCAAGGCCCCGAGGCCCCCCAGGGCCTAGCGTGGAACTGGCCTGCCCTGTTTTACACGAGAAAATGCTCAAGCACACCTTTCCATAGAGGATGTTGCTTGTTCAGTTCAACGCCCAAATCCTCTGCAAACCTCCGAGCAACAGGCATAAACTCGTGCCGCAATAGAGGGAGGAGGGGGAGGGCGACGAAGAGTCGGAGTCGGAGTCGGAAGCCTTGGCAGTTCGGTTACCTCTGTCTCGTTACTGGGCAGAGGCTGCTCGCCTGAAGCTCGAGCTTGGGTCTGCTGGCTGAGTCATTCGGCGTGGCAGAGGGATGCCTGCGGGACCCAATGGCTTATCGTGCCTCACGGGCCCGCTTCGACACTGGACCGAAAATCCCTCCAACGCGTAAGGCACAGAACGGGTGGGAGGTTATCGCACGCTGGCGCATCCCTCCCACACTCGGGCGAGGTCAAATCGATTCAGAAAATCTCGTAGGCCTCTATACTTATAGCCGCTGCCAACGTGTAGCACACTCCCCCCCCCACACTACCTCCCCCATCCCGTCATCTCTGCTTGCCTGATGGCCTAACGCCAGTTAGGCGTTGAAGTAATTCTGCTGCTCTCACACTGCCTGCTGCTGCCTGGCGCCTCAATCCTCGAATGTCTACTCCATGCTCTGCCTCTGGCGCACGTACTCCTGCACTTGCCGCTCGAGCGCTGTCGGTGGCGGAGCCCCCACGATCGCGACGCCCCCAGTTGCCTGCATCGCCGCGTATATCATGGCCCTGATCTGAGGGATGCTGAGCGGTTCCAGCTTGATCGGGCTCTCGGTGTTGCCCGCTCTGATCTTGTTGATCTCGTCTTCCGCGTGGCTGTTGAACGGGCTGAGGCCGAGCGGGTTGAGCATGATGTGTACCTTCCACCGCTCCTGTTGTCCATTTTCCTGGTCGGCTTTCTTCGCCCTCATGAACCTCACGAGGTCGGCGAGCTCGTTGAACGGGATCACGTCCATGATCATGCTGAGCTTGCCCATGTCCTCCTTCAGGTGCGTCGGTAGATTCTCGGCTCGGCCCAACGTGCCCGAAAAATCCGCTGCCACGTAGACGCGCGGGCTGCCCAAGTCCTTCCCTCCTGCCTGGCTCCGCTCCGCATATTTCCCGCCCGCTGCTGACCCCGCGTTGACTGCCGCGTGGCTGTTGCCGCCCACCAGGAAGAAGTCCCACATGCTGCCTGAGATGGCCCTGATCTGCTGCGCGTTGTTCAGCGACAGTTTTCCGAGCGCGAGTATTTCCTCTCCGCTCACCTCGGAGCAAACGTTCTTGCCATTCTGCTTCCTCGGGTCGCCACGGCGCGGTGACTTGGCCGCTGGCTGCCCGAGCTGCTCTCCTGATCCTCTCGGCCTCGACGCGAGGTTGAGCCTCCAATTCTGCGCCATCGGGTCCCTCGACGTGCGCGCAGACGTGTTCAAGATGTTCGTGGGGTACGGTATGTTCCGCGGCACAATATCCGCACACGTATGTAAGAAACTCAATGGGCCGAAACGCGAATGACGTGGAGCGAGTAGGGCAAGTGCGAGGAACCCTACGATCCATAGTAAGGCAGTGCCGCAGACGCGATTCTCTGGATGCAAATGCCGTGCGGCACCATGGGCGCACGATAGTAGTAATAAGCATCGAGTGCATGTTTCTCATTCGATGTGCGTGCGTGATGTGCGCCGTGAGTCCTTTTAGCGTCTGAAGCGTGCTTCCACATGTCGTACCGTCATCGTTCTCATGCGTGCATATCCATTCGTCAGTCACTGTGCTGTGCTCGCTGTTAGTGCTGGTGCCGCTCTGTGTTGTGCTGCTGGTTCCCGCCTATGTTGAGGATGTGTTCTTTGTCCTGCCAGGCCACGTCCAACGAGCTTTCGAGTCTGGCAAGCGCTGCGATGTCGTGCTTGCACTGCTTCGCCCAGGGCGTGCTGTGACAGGTGAGACGCCCACCTGAAGTGATCCTTGGCCGCCCAAGCTGGCGGTCAAGTTCGGTGGTGCCGAAAATCGCCATGAGCACCTGCTGGTGGTTGTCTGGTTGGCGGGCCATTGCCTGATGCCACCGCAGACGCTGCACACGTAGCTCCGACGCGGTATCGCACACATTCCAATATTCAAAAACCTGCCTATTAGATAACGTCCGCATTCTATTTCCATACTGCTGCTTAGCTCTACCATGCATCATACTTCTAAGGGGCTTTATAAGCATCGTGTCGAGCGCCTGGGTAAACTCTGGCGGCAACGCGAAGGCCGTCAGTCCTGCAATGGCCGCGCTGTACACGAAACAAACAAATAATGTACGTAAGTGCCTGTAACCCAGTGCCTGATGCCACGCCGCACCTAAAGATCGCCAAGCCGCATGAGCCCCTCGGATACGGTTTTTAAGCTCGGTTCGCAACTTCCCGTCAAAGCTGAGGATAGGGCCCAGGACACGGCTTTCCCGACAAACATCACCCTGGAGGAAACGTTGCTTGGCGAACTCCTTGGCTGTCTGGTAAGCCCCGTCTCCGCTGAGTGATATGAGGTGGTTTGTCTTGTCCGCGTTTAGATGGTGCCCATTTTTGCTAATATGTGCTTGCAGTCTTTCTGTGGCATGATTCTGTTGCTGCGCGATGTACTTGCTGTTGCTAGGGTATGCATGTACATGTAGCCTAGTGACGTCGTCCACGAAAAGGCCTACCTCGATGTCAATTTTTCCCTGATTCCCTGTGACCGAGGGCCCTCGAAGCCAACTGTAGCTGATGTCCGTGTTAGCCAGCTCGTTGTTCCAGCTATCGACCGTGGGGGAGTATATATCTACGAAGTCCCCCGCCGCCATCGAATGCCCCATGGTAGTGCCGACATGTGGTAGTAGGTCAATTTCCCCGTCTATCCCAGTAGCGTGCATGGTCGCCAAGTCCACTGTTTGATCGAGCAACCCTATGTTCTCGCTACGTCCGTTCTGTGCATGATGTTCGTGCAATGCCTGACGATGCGCGCATGCAAATGCGTGCGTGCCGTCGAAATTCGAGATCGCGTGGCTCAGCTTGTCGTCACGACAGCGCCAACACGCTGCAGACAGTGATAAGATGCATCCCTCCCTTCTCATCCCTCGAAACCCTCCGCGAGCAAAGCGTGGCGGGTCGGGTCGACGCGAAACGCGGTGCAAGTGGCCGAAAAGCGACATTCCGAAGGCGTCGAAGCAGTGCAAGACTCTCTGGCTCTTGATGCCAACTTTGCCGCTGTTCTTCGGCTGCGCAAGTGACTGAGAACGAAGCGAGGTAAGCGGGGCAAGCCCTACAATGCGGATCAGCGCCAAAAGGTCGTTGTATCTTATGCTGAACGTTTCTGGTGCATACTTTCGGCGCCT